CGTCTCGTCCCGTAGTCCCAGTCCCAGCTGCCGGCGTGGGATCGCGCTCCGGTCATCTCGCCCGCCGACGTGCGCACGGACGCCTTCACGGCCCGCCCGTCCCGCTCCCAGAGCTTCAGGGACCCCCCCCTGAAAGGTGGGCCTTTCCCCCCCCCCCCCCCTAAAGGATGAAGCTGCTTCCTACACCGCTTCTCACTTCTGTTTTTGTTTTTCTGATGCAGATCCCAGCCTGTGTGGCATAGAAAGGCAGCGGCCGGGTTCCCTGTCGTCCACCCTGGGGGGGCAGAGCCACGCCCCCTCCTTCCCCGCCCTGCCGCGGCCCTCAGGTGCTCTTCGTTTTTCTCTCGAAATGCAAAAAACGGAGAGGTTCATGTATTGCTTGTGTGTTTTTTTCGGTGGAGTTAAAAATGCCTTTGTGTCATCATGTTTCCCCCTTGACCGGTAGAGTGGGGGGGGCTTGCCAGGACCGGGAGTTGCCGGTTTCCTGCGCCATCGGTGACACTTTCCTTTTCTTTTTTTTTTCCTCTGTCTGTGTACGCTGTGTGGCTCGGCGCCTCGGCGACCTCGTAGCCAGTAGCTCTTTCAAAAACCACTTCACTTTAGGTAAGCCGCGGCACTCCGGGTGTGTGTTGTGCAGAATGCTGAAATCGATGAGCTCCTCCATGCCATATCATTTATAATAGATGGCCTATCTGCGGGTCCAGCCTGTGCCTCTGCCTGAGCCTCACGTGTGTGTGTGTGTGTGTGTCTGTGTGTGTGTGTGTGAATACGATGAAAGCCACTCTGCTTCACACTCCCAGCCTTCCAAATCAAAAAAATCCAGTGTCACATACTGCAGTAGTGGTCAGTATTTTCCTCCGGCAGTCAGATTTCCCACCTCAAAGCCTGAATGTGAAGGCTGCCAGGACCAAGGAGTTTAAAGTGGGACTATTTTTAGGGCCTAGATGCAGCTAGAGGGGGGGGGGGGCTGCTGATATTTCGCACCACGTTGGTGTTGAAGCACTTCCAAACTATGTGGGGCACCGCTGTAATCCCACAGCGACGTCCAGAACGAGTATTCCTGGAAAGTTCAGGTATGCTCACAGATAAAGGGTCAGATCTCACACGCCATACACATGATCTCGTCACCCCCCCCCCCACCACCACCCCCGAATCACGCACCCTAACTCCGGCATGCTTCGTATCAGCAGCTTATCTGAATCCGGGTCCGCTCTGGTCTCCGTCTCCGACTCCCGGGGCTGATAGAGGAGGATGGATTTTCCGTGTTTGCCGTGGCGTTGACATCCTGCCTTTGTTGGCTTGCCGCTGCACTTTTATTTTCTTTTTTTTTTTTTCTCCCATTATTGCTTAAAGACAATAACGTTTTGTGCCGCATTTTACCACACGCCCAGCTAATCCCGCCGCAGATAAGCCCGTGAATGCTGACGCTCTCAGAGGGAGACCGTTCGGCTGCGAGAACACAACAATAAGGAAAACAAATAAAGCAACAAACGCACAAAATGGACGAACGGAGCATCAAAATACGACGGAAAAAAAATGCAACCAAAAATTGGGGTCCTTCAAAACCTTTTTAAGGAATGAAACCCAACAGAAAACGTATTTACTTCCAATATTTAAACACATTGAACTCAATTTATCGAGATTTGATCTTTATCCCTTTGTGAAATTTGTCAAATATTGTTGTGTTTTGCGCATCCTGGTCGCCGCACTACTTTTTAATATCGCCTTTCCCAAAATCTTTTAGATATGTAAACTTAGATAATATCATTTCTATCATTTCTGTAGCTATTAGTTCCCCAACCTTAACCCATTGCCATAAGGGACCTTTTAAGACCTCAATCATTTCAACTGCTTCTCATTTATCTGGTGAGCTCTGGTTAGTATCCAGTAGATGGAGTCTGTTTGGTGTCTGTGACCCACAGCAGCTAATGAAAGAACACTGAAGTTTTAAAAGAAACTGCTCTGTTCAAAGCTGGTACATTTTGAACTGTGTGTTTCAGAGCTTCTTCTAACATAGCTGCTTAATATAGCCACCGATAAAGTCATTTCTTTGGCATTAAATAAGATAATAAGAGCCTGAAGGATGTTTTTCCCGTCTTCACTGTCTCTGTTTCTTTCCCCGTGTCTCTGTGTCTGGCCTTGTGGCCCCATCAGGTCGCACGGTGTCGGCGTCGGGGGCCTCGGGGCCCTTCAGGGCCTTCCCCAAGTCTCTCAGCGTGGACTTTGGCGGTCTGAGCCACCCCCACCCCCAGCCGCTGCCCCAGTCCCTGTCCCAGCCCCATCACCATCAGCCCCATCAGCATCAGCCCCATCAGCCCCATCACCATCAGCCCCATCAGCCCCATCAGCATCAGCATCAGCCCCATCAGCCCCATCAGCCCCATCAGCCCCATCAGCATCAGCATCAGCTCCATCAGCCCCATCAGCACCAGCCGCCCGCCGGCGCCGCCCACCAGACCACGCCGCCGCTCGCCGGCGCCGGCGGCCGGGACAAGTACGCCGCCGTGTCGCAGCTGGACAGCGTCTTCTGCGACCCGCCGCCGGCCGCAGGTTGGTGGAAGGAGGGGGGGGGGG